CAGCGGATGCATAGTCGGTAGAGAGAAACCCCATCCCTCTGGGGCCACCACCAGTGTGCTCATTATTCCTCGATGCTGAGTCACAGGGACCCCTCGGGTTTCCAGATGTCACAGTTCACAGGAGTAGAAAGCCCAGTCCTTCCTTCAGCTGGTGGTTTTGAACTGCTGACCATGCAGATCGTAGCCCGATGCATAGTCATACCACTGCCAGGGCTTATTGTGATACTGGTCTTATTCTTGAAGCACAGAAGAGGAGATGCTGAGACCTGGGGGAGTCTGAGGCTTCTGCTTCTGTAACTGCCACCGTGCTAGAGGACCCGAGTCCCATCCTTCTGCATCCTGCCTGCTGGGGCTCCTTGCACCAGGTAGGGGGTGGGGGTGGGGAGCATACTCCCTGATAGGGATGACTCAGGGTGCTGTGGGTTCCGCGACAGGAAAGGCAGACGAGAGCTGAGAGACAGGCCAAGTGTGGCCACTGGGACCTGGGCGCCCCTTCTCACTAGTCCTGGGACCTCGACCTTGGGCACCCAGGTGCCCTGAGGCTTTGGAGACCCACTGGACAGCAAGTCCACAACGACCCTGTCATAGTTGTTGCAAGTTTATTGATTCTGAGGTTTCTACCCGTCTAGTCCAAGTGAAAAACTTTTAGACCCACCTGCCTGCTCGCCCCACCCACCTCTTTCCTCTCTCCTATCAGTCCCTGCTGGACAAGCATCTTTCTTCACACTGCTGCAGTGGCCGCCTCCAGCCTCCCCTAGATGGCAGCCCCCCACCTGGGCCAGGCCCTCTCACGTCCAGCCACAAAGGCCTGGCCAGAGCTGACCTGGTGGCCCACGGTCTTCTTGTGTTCTTTGTTGGAGGCTTTCATGGGCGGTCTGGAGGAGCGGATGTTGATCTTGGAAGAAGAGGACCCCTTCCCAGAGGTGGTGGCGGCCGGGGTGGGGTCCTTGTCATCGTGGAACAAGTCCGCCACCAGCGGGAACTAGACACAGAAAAGAGGAAACAAGGTCTCTTACTCCTTCTGCTGCATCAAAATCCTTCTGCTGATTTCCAAACAGCGTCCCACCATGCACCCAAGAGGGCTGCGAACAGGCACGGCGGGTCCCAACAGTGCTGTTCACACTGGTCAACGCAGGAAACCACTGCAGGTCCGCCCACCGGTCGGTGATCCACACACCGGAGGACCTCCGTGTCACGAGCATCGTCCAGCCACAAGACGGAACAAGTTCCTGACAGATGCTCTGGCCCAGACGGACCTTGAAAACGCTACCCTACGTCCAAGAAGCCAGGTGCAAAAGGCCACACGCTGCGGTTTCCTGTTCCTGGATGTCCAGCAGAGGCGACTCCACAGGGAGAGAAAGGAGGCTAGTGGACGGCAGGGGCTGGAGGAAGGGGCCACGAGGAGGAGGCACAGCGACGGAGGGAAAGGAGGGGAACGGCGATGCTCGCGAATTAAACAGGGGCGCTGGTGATGCACTTGGTGACTGTGGGAGAAGCCGCTGGGCTGAGCACGTTGAGAGGGCAGGTTTACAGGGTGTGAACTGTACCCTCCGTTTTAAGAAGAGCAAAAAGCTTCACAAAGAGGGGTCCACAAGGGTTTCCCGGCGGCTTGGAAGAAGCTACCTGTGCTCAGTTCCTGCCTTTCTTGTGCTTTTTATAGGTGGCTCTTATTTTTATTATTGCATATGCATATAAAAAGTAACCAGTAGAGTGGTAGGATTCATGATGGGCATTTTTTACAGACATTATACACTTCATATGCATATAAAATTTACAATTCTACAGCCATGTTAAGAGGGATTTACCACAATTCTTCACGTTGAGAAACCCTGCACACTTCTTATCGGATCTTGTAAGGCTAACTTCCTCAAGCCTTTGTTTCTTCACTGGAGATATGGCGGCACTACACTTGCAATATGGGGTTTGGGGACATGTTATCAGGAGAGACCGGTCCCCGGAAAAGGACATCGTGCTTGGTAAAGCAGAGGGTTGTGACACAGAGGAAGACGCTCCCCGGGAGGTTTTGGCACATGACACAGTGGCCTTGGGCTCCCACCCATAAGACCAACGAGGAAGGCCAGCTTCGTCCTACGTAGCAATGGGTCGCTATAGGTCACTATGGACTAGCAACAACCACGGGGTCATTCTGAGAAGACAGGAGGGTAGCCTTTCCCTGCTAATCTCTTCACCAGAGTGCCACAGGAAGATTCCACGGGGGCACCCCCGCACGCCCCTTGGTTATTAAAAGTCAATGCTGGGGCAAGAAGACCTCACCACACACTTGCCAGTGGGGGAGAGGGGCAAAGTGGCCTACACAGGCCCCGCTCACCTCCCATCCGACTGAGGGAAAGGGAGAAAGGAAATGCTAGAGACCACTGCTCAGACTTTGGCTCTTCTAACTCCCTGGAGGCACCCTACTTCATACCCTCATCTTCCACGGAGCCGCACTCTCACCCCACCCACCTCGTCTGCTAGATAAGGCCTCTCAAGTTATCCAGCTGGTCCCCCGGCCGCCCCCGCCCCCACCGGGCTCCTTCTTCCTCCCTCTGCATCCTGCTCACTGCGTGACTCCCTCTGGTACACTCCCTGCCCCACTTCTTCTCTTTGCTTGTCCTGAGTCAGCCCCTCCCTGGAGGTCCAGCCCTGTGTCCCTGATACTCCTTCCCCCGAGCACTCCTCCCGCTCTCCCACAGACGCTGGTCCTGGGCGCCCCCCTGCCCGAGGGGAGGACGGGCGATGGAGTGTGTACGCAGAGGAGGGTGCCAAGCCCATCAACTTTGGGACAGGATTTCGTTTGATTGCTTTTATGATGGGTCATAGACGTGAAACATCTGTCTCAAAAGCAAAAGTACAGATGCTGGCAGAAGTGACATCTCTGTGCTGACAAGGAAACCCAAGGCTGCCGTTTCAGAGCAGGGAGAGCCCTGAAATCGACGCCCACCTTCCTATGGAGGTGAAGACCCAGGAGCATGCGCAGAAGGGGCGCACCAGAATCCCACTTCAACCTCCAGTCCCCTGAGCACCCAGCCCAGCGGCCAGCATGGGCTTGCCCAGGCCTGGGACCTGGCCTGTGGATGCCCAGGTCAGAGCTTGTTTCGATAGACAAAGGCATCCTTTTCACACACACACACACACACACACACACACACACACACACACGCACGATCCCCATCAAGGACGGGGAAAGACCATCAGGGGCGAGGTCTAGCTTGCTTCTTGGAAGTGTTTGCAACCAGAGGAAGCAGAGACAACGACAGGCACTCCGTGAAGCAGTCCCTCCACTGACGCCAGCTCTGGGCTGCACAGCAGGGGCTCTGGCTAAGGTGAGCAAGGCCTCCCTGAGGGTGCAGCCTCCTCTCCCGGGAGGGCAGCCAGACCTGCGGGACGGCAGAGGGTTGCTCAATGGGGCACCGCTTGGGCACGACTCCCTGGACTCTAACTTCCTCCTTCCCGGTTCACCCAGTGCGTTTCACCAGGAGGGGCCTGGCCCGGGCCGAGTCCTATAGAGGCCCGTG